CTAAGCGTTGAATTTGTGTTTGTTTTATTTTAATCTGTTGATTGTACGGCAAACTGTGAATGTTTTCTAAAGAATGATATTTTTTGTATAACTTTCTAAACTGTCTGAAAACGGGTCATTTACTCAGTATTAAAAATAAAGGCTACAGTGACTAAGCGTCAGACTGTAATGTAAAATATTGTCAATAATCTATCACCAGAATGGAGCAAAAACAATGGCTTGTAACACAATTACCGGTACTAGAACTTGAAGTGCTTGAAATAAGCGCCATTTGAAACAAAGTTGCTCAAATTTAACCACAAATAAGCGCCACCATGACATGAAAGTGTAACAAAGTGGCGCCTAATTGAAGACAAATACGGTAGTAATAGTAAATGGCTTGTGGGATGATCAAAATTTTTCACCACCAGACTTTCTTGCCCAAATTTCTCTACACTTTTTCTTATATTCTTCAATATTTCTGTAAATGAACCCTAATTCTGGAGCCAACAGACAAAATGTGAGTAATTTGGCCATTTTTGTCCTAATCTTTTGAAGGAAAGTGCAGACTATAAACGGCACTATTTTGTAAATTTGTGATGAAAGACAACTGGTGGTGGAAAAGGTTAAGAAAGGTATCCTGGCAGATGCCTGTTCACCAAAAATTGACACAAATAATAGAAACATACCGTTTTCTGACTCATATAAGGATGCAGATCTAGAATTTCAGGATATCGCACATCTTTGTTTATCTTGGAACCCATGAACCGATGAAAATCAAAACTGAAATACAAAAAAATAATCAAGTATAAAATAACAATTAACCTTTGAGTGTCAAATTGTTTCCGCCAAAATTTCAGGGTAACATTTTGCATATTTATATGTAATTTTTATAGAATTTGTTTACTAATTTTGGGTCAAATTGATGTAATTTCTCATTAGATACAGATCTTATTTAAAATCTTTGTAAAAACATAGGAAAATTATACAAATTTATTTTATTTCAATGGTGGCTAAAGTAGAATTTGGCACTCAAAGAGTTAATTGTATTTAAGGAATCTCTTTCGACATGCATAAATCATGAATGCAATAACCTACAGTCATGAATATATTGTTTTACTCACCGTTTTAAGGATATGGTTAGCACATTGGGGGCTCTATGAACAGTCAGTTTCTTTACAGCTGGTACTTTCACTTTACATCTAGAACAAAATAATAATTATCTTGTTTTTAATAAATATAGACCTCAGAAAAGGTTAGAGGTTAGCTTGATCACAGTTATATACAAAGTTACAATTTAATTCAACTTAATTACCGT